CCCCCCCCCCCCCCCCCCCGCAAAGCTGGCTGCGTCACTCACTTGGCGGCCTGTGCTGGGACCCCCACACGCATATGTCTCATGTCTGTATGTTGCTTTTTTATATGCCGGGTTTTTTTTACAGCTTCACGCTGTGTCCTGCAGAGACACAGTGCGACACTTGATTTTTTTTTGCCTCCTTTTCCCTTGTGTTCCCCTTTTTCTAATCTAACGAAAAAGGAGCAACTCTCAGAGGCTCCCGCCTCAGTCAACCCATCTACCCAAGTATGTGTGTTTGTAGTTCTTCAGATGGGCTGTACCAAAATGTAATTTTGTTGTGCTCTGTGCAATGACAATAAAGCTGATTCTGATACTAAAACCCGGTACAAAATATACATAATACAACCAGAATGCTACCAGTACCCGATATGCATCTGGCTGTATTATGTATTAATATTGTATAAATCTGTATACCACTTTTTAAATACTTTAAAAAAATGTCTTCCAAATTTATTTCAGTCTGTAAAAGACTGGTTAACAGTGATGTATGGGAAGTTTTGATAGTTAAAATAATGAAAAAACGAAAAATTATTTCTGAACAAACCTTCAATTTCGATTTCATCCAGGGACTTCCCTTGCAGGTTGGAAAGATGTCCTTTTTCCATTGACAAAAGTAGCTTGGATATCTTTGCCAGTTGTGTGGTAGGAGCTGGTAACGTGTAAAATCCCCTGTTAACACGGATGTCATGACCCAAGAAATCTGCAACCTGGTCAAGTTCATCGGTTTTTAAGTTCAAGACTTGTGAGAGCGTGGCTACATGTTTCCGTAGCCGCGCTAACCTGAGGAACTCTGGGTGCTTTGCTCCACACTGGCTTGCATGAACACGCAGACAGTCCTGTCCTCTGTAGTGACTCATTGATTTAGGTCGTGCAAATAGAAAGATGTTTGTTGGACAAACACCACATTTTTCTCTCTTACTTGCCAGTAGCGTCAGAGCATCCATCACACTTGGTGTGAGTAAAACTGCAACATTTCTGCCTCTTTTCCCGATGATTTCAACCTGACTGAAATGGCTGCAGAGCTTCTGTTCAACCTTTGACAAACCCATGGCAACATCTTCATGGAGCTTGGTGTTGTCCCGCTCCTGAAAACTTTTGAGGTGCATCTTTGAAACCTCTACAGGTTGTCTACGATTGAGCACAATGATCTGTGCAAGTGTAACTTTTGCAAGTTCTGCATAAGTCTGGGGCCTGACATCATCTTTGAAGGCGCAAAAGGCATTTTCTCCTGATTTCTTGAGATGCTGATGAAGAAGCTGAACATCTTCAGTGAATGGTAATGTTAATGGTTTGTTGTACTTTGCATGACTTGGAGTCTTCAAGGCAGAATGAGACACCAACTCTGACCATTTGGATGAGTACAGTTCTTTGAATGCGTCTGTCGACTTGATCAGTTGTTCATCTTCTTCCATGAGCGCTCGACATTGAATGATGTTACAGACTTTGTGCAGTGCATGCCCCAGTTTCAGGGCAAGGCTTGGCGTTTGGTATGAAAGTCTTTCTTCATCAAAGCCTGACACAATCTTTACTGCTTGCACAACTCTCTGGAAGTTAGCAGGTTTCACAGCTTCCTCTAGGTTATGTATTGAGAATTGTGTGCGCAGACATAACAACAAACGTCCAACTTCACGAAGCTTCTGTCGCATGTAGTCATATTTTGTGGGGTCTTGTCCATGTTTGTTGTGGAGTGACTGAGCAAACTGAATAATAGACAGGTCATTTCTCACAGCTGAGGTAACATCATCTTGTTTCATACCGTTAAGGAGCTTCCAAACTCCACTTGAGATTTGCTGACAGAATGCAGACTCGTTAGCCATAGCCAAGCCCAGCACTTTGGTTCTCCCAGGTGCTTTATCCAGATCCAAATTTTCTGGCTTACAGGGGCATCTACGGACATGTCTCCATAGTTCCTTTCGAACGTACAAACCTTGGCAGTACATACAGTGAATAAATGATCCAGCTACTGCCTTAGCTTTTGGCTTTCTCTTCACTTTCAATGGCCCTTGCTCACCTTGTAAAACTGCAGAGTTATGCATAAAATTTCCTTTGTTCCTCATTTTTTCAAATAAAATTTTGCGCTCTTTAGAATCTTCAGGAAGGGAAAATGCATAGACAATTTCAGCATTCGTATTGTGTAGTTTTAAATGGCGTGAAATTTTGCTTTGTGGCTTACCACAAACAAAACAGTAATTTTTAACACTTGTAATCTGCTCTGAGGATTCCTGTTTGAGAAGCTTATCTTGACTGTCTGGTTTATCTTTTGAGACTGTGGTAGAATTGGCTTGGCCTGATGTTTTAAATGTGTTCTCACCTATATTATTTGTGTGGGGAGGAAGGCGACATTTGGACGTGCTGGGTACAACGGGGAGACTTGTGTCTGACACATCAAAGATATTAAGATCAGACAGTGCAGTTTTTCCGTGAATCTGTCCAACTTTGAACTGGCTAGACTGAAGGGGGATGCTTGCATCTGAATCTTCATCATCTGAACCTGATGAATAGTCCTCATCAAACAGATCATCTGTTACTTCATGTGGCTCAGAGGGTGCTGAGCTTTCCTCATCTGATGACAGGTCATTCCCAGAATATTTAAAACTTTCTTTTTCCTGAAATAGTGAGAAACATAATTTAAAATTTATAGCCCTTTGAAAGCAATTGAAAATAAAATTATGTAGATGCTCACCTGTGTTGGGTGTTGAAAGTTATCATTAATTTGTTTAAGGCAGGATCCATGCCAAACACAAGAACAAACTGAAAAAAATTTAATGCACACTTTAAAACAACAGATTTGTAGAACATACAAAAGCAGCAATCTCACAATCACGACACTTATCACTGTCAAGTTTTTATAAATCATTTTGTATTGAAACGTTTTTTGAATAAATCATTAAGGGACTGATCTATTTAAAACTATAAAGTTACAGTTAATATACAACCATAGGCTATAGTTTTATTGTTTAGTACCGTATATGTGACAAAAAAGAAAAAATAAATAAATCACCTTTGCATCGATAGCCAAGCCACTTGAAAGAAGAAACAGGTCCAAGGCATTGATGACACTTGTCCATGGATGACACAGTTGTACAAACCAAGATATGGTTTAGGCACTATTAAAAGGAATCACATTAATTAATATTAAAAAGAAAGTGAGTACGTGAAAATAAATGCTAAAAAAAAATCACTACAATGTTAAAACTATTTTTTTGTAAATCAACAAAAATTTCTAATTTAATTTGAGTGATGAATATGGAGTCCTCCTTTACAATCTGAAAACCTCCATTTATAATTAGAATAGCCCTCATATTAAAAACAAAAAACTATCTTCCTTTACTTCTTAATTGCTAAATAATGAGTTCACACCAATACCATAATGTTCAGAAACCAATCCAATCATTCTATTAATTTAATTAAATTCATCCATCCATTATCTTTTACCCACTTCTTCCATTTTGGGTCACAGGGGTCGCCAGTGCCCATGTCCAGCAATCACTGTGCGAGGGGTGGGGGACACCCTGGACAGGTCTCCAGTCCATCACAGGGACACATAGAGACAAAAGAGACAAACAACCATTCACTCTATCACTCACACCTAGAGACAATTTAGAGTTACTGTACCAATCAGCCTACCATGCATGTTTTTGGTCTGTGGGAGGAAACCGGAGCACCCGGAGAAAACCAACGCATGCACGGAGAGAACATGCAAACTCCACCCAGAAAGGCCCCCGGACCGGGATTTGAACCAAAGACCTGCTTGCTGAGAGGCAGCAGCTCTACCAGTTGTGCCACCGTGCTAACCATAGTGTCAAATCACAACCGAATTTGTCTCAGGGCAATGATCACAAACATTCACATATAAACAAAAGCCAATTAGTAAAGTTCTCTATCTAAGGAACCAAGCAGACTCATTGAATCTTCACTTCAATTCAAAAACAGAAAGTCAATCTTAACAATTTGGTCCGTCTGTCACAATGGGGTAACTTCCCACTGGACACACTCATACAATCAGTCAATTTACAACTTCTTACCGTCCTAACAAACCACTGTCCATAAAATCCACTAAACACTCCTACACACTGTTGAACCTGGGCCTGCAGTCAACCTACTTCACATATGGAGGCAGGACTTCATTTGTAAACTGACAGATGCCGGAACGCAAAGAGTGGGCAGACCAGCGTTTTTTTTTTTTGTTTTTTGTTTTGGGGGGGGGGGGGGGGTCCTGGGGAACGTGCATGCTCACAAGAGATGAGCCTTACAAGTTGTTTAATGACATAAAATATATTTTGTTAGCAAATAATAGAGTCCTAACATTTATTAAACATTACTTAAGAGATTTAGAAAATAAAATCAAAGTTGTGCTTTGATAAACTCATCAATTAAAACTAAAACATTCTGTCAATGCAAGAGGAAAAAAGGGGGCAGATATCACTCTCGTTTTGAGCTTATACTCTTTGTCGCATGCGTGCTTAGGCCTGTCACGATAACAAATTTTGATGGGCGATTGTCTCAGAAATTATTGCAATAAACGATAATATTGTTTGAAATTTAACAATAATTGTCAAATTTTAGAAGAAATGTTGATTTGTCTGGAGTGTAGTACCTTTTTTGACCACCTGATGGCAGTACAAGACTGTTTGAACCAAAGGATGGATAGTTGAGCAGCATGTCTCTTAAGAAAAATGGGACGTGACATGGGCCGTCTCTCTTCCGTTCTCAAAATGGCAGATGCTTGGAGTGGTTTGAGCTCTTTAGCATAGCATTTTTCTCACAAAGCTTTTAATAAAAATTAAAAAATCAGTAAACAAGTTCTCAGCTTCTTTTTGCAGAGAAAAACAACTTTTTACACGAAGACACAGATTTCAACCGTAAATTTTGGAGCTGGACAAGACGGAGGTTTATTCCCAAAGTCGGCCTTTTAGCTTAGCTCGTAGCTTGGCTTCTCAGCTTAGCTGCTTTTAACAATCCAAAAACCCGATGGACGGTTAAAATGGATTTTAAAGAGAAAAGAGGCAGGGTGAGGCACTGGAGTTGAGTCGTATTTTCGATAGAAAGAGACACGAAGAAACGATAAAGCCGGCAAATGAAAATGAGGTTGATAATTTTCATTCATCGTGCGATTAATTGATTTATTGTTTATTGTGACAGGCCTATGTGTGCTGTGGTGACAAGCGTCTTCAGACCTGGGCATTGTACGGCCCCAGGGCCACATGCGGCCCTTTGGTTGACTCTGACCGGCCCCCGTAAGGGGAATTACAAAATACATATGTAAACAAATGAAGTTAACCAAATTCAGATATAGATCCTCTCTCACTGATGATGTCAGCTTTGCTTCACATCTCCACCTCAGACCTTCAACCTGACTTTAACATTTCCATTAAAGCCCAACAGAGACTAGACTTCTCTCACTAAACAAGAAAAAAGAACTGATAAACACCAAATGAGATGTTTAGACTATAAATGTAGGCACGTAAAGAACCGGGACTAGAAATCACAGTTCAGTGACGATCACTATTATATGATGTTTCATAATATTTGGAGTACAAAGACAATATTGTGATATATTTACAAAGCTAAGAACTTTTTCCAGCAGTATATAAAACTCAAAATGAGTTTTGGGGTGAATGTGACTGAAAATGATCACTAATATAACGTCACAAATGGTAAAAATGTTAACAGTTTACCATTGTACTGGGAAATTTAATTGAATAAATGACATTTTTTGTAAGGAAACCTCGCTTTTTCGTTGCTTAATCATAACAAATACTCTTACCAGCTTGTTAAAACAGTGCTATGTACTGCTTTTAATAATGAAATACTATTATTATGCAGTATTGAGTTAACTTGAAATCAGGTCTCTCTTGTAAATGAGTCCTCGAGGCTCAATGGGATTTACCTGTCTAAATAAAGGTTGAATGAAAAAGTCATTTGTGCCAGCCCTGCACAATATTTGTTGTTTCTCATGTGGCCCCATGGAAAAAATAATTGCCCACCCCTGGTCTAGATCATCATAAAAACAGCAACGTCCGTGTCCGAGTTATTCATTTATCGTCTCGGCAGCAGAACCATGCGACACGGTTCAAGAATAGCTCCCCAAACGACAAGGCAGTCATATTTGTTCATAACTTTATTATTAGTAAGCCTGAAAGTTGCTGGATCCAAGCAAACAGTTGCCGGAACACACCCTGTCAAAACAAGAGTTCCAAGATCTTGTTCCGGCAGGATCCAGTTCAAATTAAGCACTGTATTGAGCAATATTATAGGTAGAAACATGGGTGTGCTATGGGGTCTTCAGTTTTTCCTATTGTTGCCAACCTGTACATGCAGGAGGTAGAAAAGAGAGCCTTGACGTCCTTTTCAAGGACACCACCGAGTCATTGGTTCAGGTATGTTGATGATATCTGGGTTAAAATTAAATCTCAGAAAGTCCAACATTTTACTGACCACATCAACTCTGTGGATAAATATATATTAATAATAATAATAATAATAATAATGTGTATGTGCTGTCATCATTCCCATACAATGGCGAAGTTGGCTCTCTGCATTTAACCCATCCACCCCCAGGTGGAGCAGTGGGCAGCTATTGAAAGTGCCCAGGAAGCAATTGGGGATAGGGTGTCCTGCTCAGAGACACCATGAGATGTGCAATGATTGGGGATCGAGCCTGGGACTTTCGGGTCCCGAGTCGGCTGCCCTGCCTCTACCCCATCTCGGCCCCCCCTATTTTAATAAAAGTTCATATAAAGTTCACATGAGAAGATGTAAAAAATGGCAGGCTGGCTTTCTGGACAGTGAGGTCTCAGTTTCTGATGGAGGACATTTGCAAACTGAGGTGTACCGCAAACCCACCCACACAGACCAGTATTTGTGGTTCGACTCCCATCACCCCTTGGAGCACAAGTTAGGAGTCATCAGGACTCTGTATCACAGAGCAGACAGCATCCCCACTAGCTCAGGAGCCAGACAGAAGGAGAAATCCTACACAAGACAGGCTCTAGAGCAATGTGGATATCCTAACTGGGCCTTCCTGAAAGCAGAGAAGAAACCCAAACAGGACTCCAGTCAGCCAACAGGTGAAAAGGAGGAACCCAGACTCAGACCAGTGGTCATTCCGTATGTTGAGGGAGTATCAGAGAAACTGAGACGTTTATTTTCTAAACATAACATCCCAGTGGCTTTTAAACCCCAAAATACATTACGGCAAAGACTGGTTCATCCCAAAGATCCAGTCCCCCGGCACAAACAGAGTAATGTTGTGTATGCTGTTCAGTGTCAGGAGGGCTGTGATCAGTCTTACATCGGGGAAACTAAACAGCCACTGGCCAAAAGGATGGCCCAGCACAGAAGATCAACATCATCAGGCCAGGACTCTGCGGTCTACACTCATCTCCAGGCCAGCTGTCACTCTTTCAGGGATGAAGATGTTCACATCCTTGATAGAGAAGAACGATGGTTTGAGAGAGGAGTAAAGGAGGCCATCTTTGTGAAAATAAACCATCCACATTAAACAAGGGCTGATGCCTCCATGTCCAATTATCACCTTCTTACACTGTTGTTATTCCTAGAATCACTCATCGCTTTGTGAATAGCAAGCGGCCATCAGAGCATCAGGGTGCTAACGATCGGCCGTTAGACTGATGGTCCTCCTTTATCATGTGAACAGCTAGTTTTGGATGTCAACAACAAACTGGTTGATCCACTATGATAAAAGGCTATTTAAAAGAATGAGCTTGTTGCAGCTCCTCAGACTGACAAAGTATTTTGAATTAAAGATGAAACGTTTCAACAAGTTTTTTTTTTAAACCTGTCCAAAGGACCTGACTTTGTTAGATTTTTCTATCTGGATTATTGAGCATGCATCAGGATACTCATTCACATACACACACTCTTAAACCGAACAGGTAGGTTGAGGAAACCTCATTCAGCAAGTAATTCTGTTTAGCAGTGCATTAACTAAAAACTACCTTTGTAGTCCTGTTCAGATTATCAGGAACTGGATCAGTCTGGTTCTGGTTGCCTGCTGCCCCCGGACTCTGGATTTGCTCATTTGTCATCTGTAACAGATAATTAATACTTATCTTTAGACAATCATGAGGAAATTCTGCATTTTGATGAGAGATGCTGTCCTATGCAAACCAAGAAACATTACATGATTGTTGGTTTTTTAACCTAACTGGCTATTCTGTAAACTGTACAACACAAAATTAAAAAATGGCATTCTTTAAAGGTGTACCTTTTCAGTGTCGCCAGATGTTGCAGGAATGTGCGAAACCTCAGATTTATCAGTATACAGTTTGTCAGCAAAATCCTGCAAAAAGAAAAAAAAAACATTCATTTACAGGATGGCATGCTTTATCTGAGACAGTTTATAGATAGTTTGTGTATGAGAGTTCTATGAGCAAAACATCCAATCTGAACAAAGTAGTACACCAATGTTCACAGTTGCTGATGGATCAGAATAGTAAAGTGTTTGTAGTTTTGGAGATGTCAGGTCATCTGGACAGTTTCTTTTTTTGAGCTGAAACGTTTTGCCTTCAATCCGGGAGACCATCTTAGCACCAACATAACTGGTTTGTTCCACTTTGGAGTAAGCTGTTGGGGGAAGAATCAGTTTTGTGCTGTGTGTTTCCTTGACTGATGAAGCCTTCTGGATCGAAGGCGAAACGTTTCAGCACAAAAAAAGAAACTGTCCAGATGACCTGACTGAAAAATGTTGGATTGTATACCTGGATTATTGACCATGGACTTTGTTGTCCTACACACAATCAACCAGTTTACAACTGTCATGACAGTCCTAACAAACCACTGTCCATAAAAACCATAAAACACTCATACACATACATTCACTTCAATTGAACACGCAGGTTGAGGAAACATCATACATTAAGTAATTTTGTTTAGCAGCACATTAACTAAAATCTACCTTTGTAGTCCTGTTCAGGTTATCAGAAACTGGATCGGTCTGGTTCTGGCTGCCTACTGCCACCTGGACTCTGCTTTTGTTCAGTTGTCATCTGTAACAGATAATTAATATCGGTACTTATCTTTAGGCAATCATGAGGAAATTCAGCATTTTGAGATGCAGTCCTATGCAAACCAAGAAACACTACATGATTGTTTTGTTTTTAATATACCTGGCTATTCTGTAAATTGTCCAACACAAAATGAAAAATTACATTCTTAAAAAGTGTACTAAGTTTTCAGTGTCACCAGATGTTGCAGGAACATTTATTCAACCTTTATGTATACAGGTTAGTCCCATTGAGCTTGGGGACTCACTTACAAGAGAGACCTGATAAAAGGTGTCGCCTCAGATTATGCATGGATCTCCTTGCACCTCCTTGATGTGTTTCAAGCCTCAAGACAGATCTGGGTTGGCAGGCCTCAGACTGACGGTCTTCCGGAAGGAAGAGGAAATGTTTCTCCCTTAAAGAAACTTGTCCAGATGACATGATTTAACCTTTTTTGTGATTTATCTACCTGGATGATTGAGCTTACAACCCTTTTTCCATTTCTGAACCATTTTGTCACTGGTGTTCCTCAGGCTGTTTCTGTGAGTAGCAAGGTGGCCATCTGGCCTAAAACATTTGTTTGTTCTGCACAATGATTGACTGCTTTGGATGGATGGACCCCCTTTTTTGCATGTGTAAAGCTAGTTAATTTGGATTCCACAGAGGGCTGGCTTGAAACACATCAAGGAGGTGCTGCTATTTGTGAGACAGATCTGGGTTGGCAGGCCTAAGACGGAAGAAGTCTTCTGGATGGAAGACGAAATGTTTCTTCCTTAAAGAAACTTGTTCAGAGGTCATGATTTAACATTTTTTGTGATTATAATGTGACGTTCGTTGTGTATTGTTTGCTGGACTGTTTTGTCACCTATGTTTTGTTATACATGTTCACTTAACTTGTGAATTACGTCAGTCTTTATATCTTTTACCTGCTTTACGACTATGGATGGAAGTTGACTACTGAGCTAATTCCGGTGCATTTACAAAAAAATATATGACACTGACGTCAATTATTGTACAATGTCATAATTTTAAAATACTTAGAAAAAAATGTTTGTGATGTACACAGTGGAAGCATACACAAACCTAAGTGACATTTACTATACTATGTTGAAAAAAAGGTAGCTGTCGCAATTTAAATAGTTGATATTATACTTATGGTTTTCTGTTCAGTGCCCTGAAATGACTGTTGTGACTTGGTGCTATATAAATAAACTCTATTGAATTGAATTACAGCTTACTGTTTTATCTCAATGTGCATATCAACTGTTGCTAAACAACTTACCCCAAATGTTGCATCTATAAAAAATAAGTATGGCAAACAAGTTCATATTTATGCTGCAGATGTGCAGAGCAGCAGGCAGACTACAGGTTAGCTAGCTTGCTACATGTTAAAATATGAAAAAATAAAATAAAAATCTCAGTTTTTACCCAATGCTTGTCACTTCTGTTCTCACCCTCACCTGTTGTCTGCTTCAACGCACATTTTTTTAACGGCACCTTAAAAACGTAACGAGGCGGGGAAGTCTCTGCTAACTTAGCTTGTATGGCAACTTAAGGCCGCGCTGCTGTGGTTCAACAAGCACGGTGAAAACAGTAAAACCTCTCCTTTCCTCCCAATTCTGTTGGACTAATCACGCAGGTTACATCTCCTCCAGCCTTCAGAGGTTGTCATGGCCTACCTATCCAGCTACAGCCTTACTTACTTTGGAGGTGCTAACAACCAGAATAAAATAAACCGCTTCAAAGGCTCACAAATGTTGGCAGTTTAGTTTATTTGTTACAAATATGTACAAAACATATTCCAACTAGCTCTAAAACTTTTCATGTAAGCTGACATTTAGTTACAGATAACATCCTCAAAGCAAACATACACTTTATTTACAACTCTTACCTGTGTGTGCATTTAAGCCGCCATGACACTCACTCCAAGTACTGCAACTTCCGGAGACCTGAGGCCCCGCCTACAGATTTACCCAGCCACTCACAGGAGGGCTGGGCAGACCTGAGACCCCGCCCACGTGTTTATCCAGCCACTCACAAGAGGGTTTGTTGAATTGGCGCGTTGTGAATGAAAAATGTGTAAAAAAAATTGCAGTTCCGTCCTATACATTCAAAGAGCGCTGTTTTATACTGTACACAAAACTGCACGATCAGGTGAGGTGAGGGTAATAGACGTACAATTACATAAACCAAAATAACTTTTTATTAAAACAGTTGTGCCAAAGCACAGTTTAAATAATACAGGCAGTGATTTAGCCACTTAAATTCACGAGAAAACACAATGTTTAGACACTAACATATTTCATGAGCTGAACTCAAAGATCTAGACTTTATCTATGTACACAAAAAGCCTTTTTTCTCAACTATTTTTCACAAATTTGTGTAAATCTGTCTTATCACTTCCCTTTTGTCGAGATAATTCATCCACCTCTCAAGTGTGGCAAATTTAGCTGCTGATTAGACAGCATGATTATTGCACAGGTGTGCCTTAGGCTGGCCAAAATAAAAGGCCACTCTAAAATGTGCAGTTTTATCACACAGCATAATGCCACAGATGTTACAAGTTTTGAGGGAGTGTGCAAGTGGCATGCTGACCGCAAGAATGTCTGGACCAGAGCTTGTGAATTGAATGATCATTTCTCCACCATAATCTGTCTCCAAAGGCATTACAGAGAATTTGGCAACATCCAACCGGCCTCACAACTGTAGACCACGTGTAACCACACCAGTCCAGGACCTCCACATCCAGCATCTTCATTTCCATGATCATCTGAGACCATCTACCAGCCAGTGAGCTGCTGCAACAAGCAGTTTGCATAACCAAAGATTTTCTGCACAAACTGTCAGAAATGAACCGTCTCAGGGAAGCTAATTTTCATGCTTGTCGTCCACATAACTTCAGTTCATTGTTGTAACCGACTTGAGTGGGCAAATGCTCATATTTGATGGCACAAGTTGTAGAGGTGTTCTCTTTATGGATGAATCCCAGTTTTCACTGTACAGGGCAGATGGCAGTCTGCATGGCATCGTATGGGTGAGCAGTTTGCTGATGTCAACGTTATGAATCGAGTGACCCATAGTGGCGGTGGGGGTTATAGTACGGCCAGGCGTATATTATGGCTACAAACACAGGGATACTCTAGAACTGGCTCTGGATGCTCTGGATAGATATTATGTCTGACTTTTAAACTGCACAAGAATATACCTGGCTGAACCTAGTGTGAAACTACAGATGGCAAATATAGACTGAAACTGAATCTTTGAATCTGAATGTTCACTTGACCCATCAGCTCCAAGAATAGTCCTGCAACTTTGACTGTTTAGGCTCCATACTGATGTGGAAAACCCCCTTTTCCCTAGAACTTTACAGAGTTGTGGTGTCACCTAAGGTGGAGTTTACTATTGTAAATAGTAGTATTGTGAAAAGTGTGGTTCCCGATGTTTTCAAACAGTAGTTCATCCGTTAATTAAGAAACCTGGACTTGACCCTTTGACTTGCTCAAATTTCAGACCAATCTCGAAACTTCCCCTCCTGTCCAAAATCCTGGAGAAAATAGTCTTCATTCAATTAAACAAGTTTTTGAATGAGAACAGAATTTTTGAGATTTTTCAGTCTGGTTTTAAGCAACTCCACAGCACTGAAACAGCTTTAGTAAAGGTTTGTAACGATATTGTGATATCAAATGATTCTGGTCAATTTGTGGTACTTGTGCTCCTGGACCTTACTGCTGCTTTTGATACTGTTGACCACAGTATCCTTATATCACGTCAGGAACAGTGGGTTGGGATCACAGGTGCTGCATTAGAATGGTTCCGCTCATACCTGAATGGCAGGAGTTTTTGTGTCAAGGTTGGCAATAATGTATCCGCCTCATTATCTCTTTCTTGCGGGGTCCCACAGGGTTCAATTCTTGGACCCCTTCTGTTCTCACTTTATTTGTTCCCACTGGGGTCCATCCTGAGGAAACATGGTCTTTCATTCCATTGTTACGCTGATGATTGTCAGATCTACCTGCCTGTGAAACCAGCAAGTGTTTGCTCCATTCACCCTCTGTTAAAATGGGTGGATGACATTAAGGCTTGGATGGCTTCAAATTTCTTCAGTTTTAACAATGAGAAGACCGAAGTCATTGTCTTTAGCCCTAGCTCAACTGCCACCTCTGATCCTGTCAACCTGGACTCTCTTCAGCCATATCTTAAGCAGTCTGGTAAAAATCTCGGGATGGTTTTATACTCTGACTTCAAGTTTGACAAACAAATTAACTCTATTCTGCAGAAAAGCTTCTTCCAACTAAGACAGGTAGCTAAGCTCAAGCCAGTATTGTCCAGACCCGACCTTGAGAAAATAGTCCACGCCTTTGTCACGACCCGATTGGACTATTGCAATGCACTCTATGCTGGGGTCAGCCAGGCCTCCATTTCATGTCTTCAGCTCGTCCAGAATGCTGCTGCTCGGCTTTTAATGCATTTCAATGCCCCGCGGAAGCCTTGTGACTGATAAAGTTTCTGGAAACCACACAAAATGGGGACAATGGGCGAGGTCTAGATTTGCGATGCTAACGGTCGCAAATTCCTTTGCGTAGTTATATGCTCTGTACCCAAGCATGGGTATAAAATAGCTGCCTGGTACATTAGCTCCCTGTGAAGTGTAATAATATTACGGATAATTTATTTTAACACTAACATCTTAATTAGGAGTTTGGTAGTGACAAGCAACTTTTTAATACACTGCTTACAAAATTAAAGGGAATACTAAAATAACACCCTTGACCTCAATTAATTATTCTCATTGACAAACTTTATTATTAGCACTGTGGAATTGATATTTTTTTAGTTATCTTCTTCTCAATGTAAATCAAAATTATGACGCCATGGAGATCTGGATTTGGATTCATTCTCGAGATGAAAGTGAAAAATGACATGACGGGTTGATTCAACGTCAGTGAATATTCCTCAAGACAAGTTTAAATGAGGCTCAGTAGTGTGTG